TCGGATTTGTATTCCGAGGGAAGGAGATTTGATTTAATTCAAGGGAACTTGGGTTGTAGTAGGGACCGTCGTTCGTCAGAGTACCAAGAAGTTGAATTGAAAAGGAGCACCTACAACATTGACATCTTTGAATCACTTCAGGGTATACGGAAACAGAAATGCCCAAATCATACTGTGTGGATATGATTATTCCCAAAGTTCTGGGCATGAAAAAGATGAGACAAGGCCCTGTCAGAATGCTTAAGCCATGACTCTTAAATTTCAAGTACAAGGAACCAGTATGGGCCAAATCACAGTACGTTGCTATGACTATTCCCAACTTTCAGGGTATGCATGGCAGGGGATGAACGAAGGCCAAATGATAAGAATATCGGAATACAAGGAATTGGACGAGGCCAAAAAATAATAGTTAGCTATGACTATTCCCAAGGAACCAGAAGGCGCCAAATCACAATACGTTGCTATGATTATCAGGGTATGCCTGGCAGAAAATGACAGAAGGCCAGGCGATAATACTTAGCTATGGTTATTCCCGAGTTTCAGGGTACAAGGCGCCGGAAAAGGTCAAATCATAATACTTAGCGATGACCATTCCAAAATTTAAAGTACAAGGAGCCAGAAAGGGCTGGATGATAATATTTAGCAATGACGATTCCCGAATTTCAGGGTACAAGGCACCACACAAGGCCAAATCATAATGCTTAGTGATGACCATTCCCAAATTTCAAGTACAACGAACCAGCACGGGCCAAATGATAATGCTTAGCTCTGATTATTACGAAAATTTCAAGGTATAAGGCTACAATCTGACTCCGTCATGGCACGCAACACAGCAACATGCGCGGATTGTTCGTAGGGATAACTAAACCTAATTAAGGTTAATTCGGGGAACCTAGGGAGCGGCCTCAAGCTTGACCCATACATCCTAAGCCCTACCCCAAATCCTAAACCCATAGCTTGGACATGCAGGCACTTGGACATTCATGATACATTATTGTTGAATGTCACAGCATAAACACACAAGCAGTAAATGACCTCATTTTTGAGTTTCAGGGTAGCGGGAAACACGAAAGGCCCAGTCATGCTGCCTAACGTATGCACGACACACTGCGCTGCACTGTGTTGATACTTTTTCCTTCCAGCACCCATCCAAAAGCACCTTTCCAGCACCATTACAAAATCCCCTTCCAGCACCGTTCCACCTCTCCAGCACCATTCCAAGACAACCCTCCGGCAGCATTCCAAGATCACTCGTCCAGCACCATTCCAAGAGCGCCCCTCCGCAAGATTACAAGATCACCCCTCTTGCACAAATCCAAAAGCACCCGTCCAGCACCATTACAAGACCACCCCTCCAGCAGCATTCCAAGATCACCCTTCCAGCAGCATTCCAAGATCACGCCTCCAGCACCATTCCAAGAGCACCCCTCCAGCAGCACTCCAAGCGCGGCATTCCAAGTGCAGCATTCCAACTGCATCTCGTGGTAAACTGATTATGCGCTGTTCTGGTTGCAGCAGGGTCCGGTTTTGTGTTTTTTGGGACCGGTTGTGATAGGGTCCGCTTTTCAACTGTAGCAGGGACCATCTGGTTGTGGTATAGGACTTGGAATTGTAGGAATGTTCCTCAAGGGCCTGGGGCCTCGGCCCCCAAAAGCAGCGGTTTGTCTTCGTTTCTACAAAATTTTCTGGGGGGAGTTTGGCGCAGGCGTGGGAGGCTGAGATGATTGCCAGCCAGGATATCCCACCTAACCCCCCCCCCCCTTTTGGGCTGTAAGGGAGAAAAAAAAGTGATTTCACCCTTTCCATTTACTGAAACCATCCAACGCGCCCCCCAAGGTTGGCGGACTTAGGTTTAATTGGGAGCATGGAGGGGTTAAACTGGTTAAACATCCAAGAAAATGATCACGTTTTTCCGCGCAGGCCGACCCTGTTCTGGCCCACATGTAGTTTATTATTTGCCATTCTTTGAACGTATTTGAGAGGTTAAATGGGTGGGCAGTCGTAGCATGGGAGCCCCACAAGTGCTGGAAATATGGGCAAAGCACTACAAAATACTATGCAACATGCATCAGAACGCACAGTTTGAGAACTTGGCCTCCCTAATGCTAGCAAAGCTTTTCGCATGCTTGTCATGCAGTGCAGGTGCTCCCAGCATTGGTATTTACAGCCACAAACACTGCCCGCCGCACGTATGTTGAGCATTTTGTTGGGATTTTAGAGAACTTGAAGGTCCCAGCAGCTTGATTGGGAGATTTAAGGGTCCTGGAAGATGCATATTCTGGAGCCCTCGGGTTAAAGCCACAAGATGCGGCACATGGTTGTGAGTTTCATGTAGACTTCCAAATGACTACCAATGTCAAGGAATCTGTATTTCTTTCGTGTAGAGGAGGTACCTCAAGAAGACCTCAATATGATAATTTTGATATTCATGTAGGCCCCTACAGTGAATTGGCTGGAGGTATCGCATTCACCCACTCCGGCTGGTCCTTTCAGGTGGCCATTCGTGTTGAGGTTTAGTGCATTTTGGGTCAGGGCTGTAGGGCATAGGGGATTGGGGGTTTAGCGTTCTGGGTCCGGAGCGAAGGATTGCTCCATTACACAGTGTAGGTTTTTAGTGTTTGGGTGGTTATGGGGCTTACGGTTTGGGTGTTTTGGTGTCGGAGCTCAGGGTTTGGGGCTTACGTTTCCGTACTTATTTTTCTTGCGTATAAGAAGATGTGATTGCGCGAATGGGTCAACATGATCCTCCGAATATCCCAGTAACCATGTTCGGTTCCTGCTCAATTGTGATGCGTGCGTGGCCCAAGGTAATCTTCAAAATCTCACGTGTAGACGACTCCCCAGGAGGCACGGGACAGATTTTTCCCGGCCTTGATTTTGCAACAGCCGCATATGCGTAATTCTTTCTGCGGCGTAATTCTATTTGCATTGGGGTGTTGCAAGCTTCCGTTTGCGGTGGGGTGTTGCGTAATTCTGTCAGCGGTGGCTGGCCGATTTCTATACTTCGTTTGGTACAGTGGTGTTGTGCACCTCTTGCATTGCGTTCTTCTGTGGCATGGGTGTTGCAGAATACTTCTGTGGCGGGCGTGTTGCGTAATTCTGTCTGCAGTGGTGTTGCGTATTTCTGTTTGCCTCGGGCGTGTTGCGTAATCCTGCACGCAACAGGCATCTTGCGTGATGCTGCAGTTGGCGATTATGTTGCGCCATTCCGTGTTCGGCACGGGTCTTCGGTAAGAAGCCCTACCACCACCTGAATCATTTGAATCGATTGCTCCGTTTCAGGTGGCTAGTCATGGACTTTGTGCTCCGCTTCAGGTGGCTAGTCATGGACTTTGTCTGGCATGCCGACATTGCGCCCGTAATTAATGCTGGATTCTGAAGCTTCTGTGCTTGAACGCAGTTCTATTTGAGCATCTTTCTCAAGCAAGGGTTGCCTGGATGCCTCTCACTCAGACCTTTGTTATAAGGCCACGCCAGAACAAGAGCTATAATTCAAGTAATCCGAAGCCCCGTTTAGCCTTACAGATATTCACAGACCATCCACGCCAATAATCTTCTTAAGCTGGACGCTTCAAGCGAGTAGTGCTTGCAAGAGTCCCATCTAGTCTAGAGTAAATGGAGCAAGCTTCGATTCCTTAGATTTTCACGTGATGGAGACGATCGATAATATTATACGACTGCCCGATCTGAGTAGCAGAGCAACCTCACTGCAACCTAAGCCATAAACAGAGCAGACTCAGCTGAATTCCACCAATGTGGAACTGCAGACTCCAAATAAAGCTTAACCAGGAATCAACCGCTAATGCGGGACCGCCTCGACAAGGGTGGAGGAGTGCTGCAGACCCACCAACGCCCTTCCAAACCCATCCCCCCCAAGCAGTTTCTCTGGCTTGCCTCATCTTCTACATTTCGTG